TCTGGAGGAGGACAAGGAGTTCTGAGACAGTCACACTGAACTTCAGATGGGAAATAAAATCCTACGTTGTGTGTATGTGGGGGGAGGGAGGATGAGGAAAATAGCTGGTCTCTGGGTCTAGAGCTTAAGAACAAGGTTTAGAATGGGCAAGGCTGTGTAGGTCATTGGTGTATGCTACAGTGGGAGAGTAATGTTAATGGCCTGCTGACTATGCCCTCCCCCACTTCTGAAAACTTACCTCCTCCTGGGCCCTGACCACCCACCATCACTGAGCATCTACATTGTTTCTTAAACATCTTAAACCATTTCCATCCAATTCTGTAATGGTTGTATGTCTCCAAGAGTGTATCCAAAGAAGTCTGCTGTCAAGCATCAGATTGAGCCATTACCTTCCCCATCACATGGAGTCCTTCGGAACCCTGAAATTCACACTGCACAATCCATAGAATTTCCTACAAAAAGTTCCCAAGAGAACACACCACAAAGTACATGTCTCTTGCCAGGATGAAGCTTCCTGGAAAGGCACTATCCTCTGTCCATAGTCTAGCCAGCACTAAGGACACCATGTGTATTTCGACAAACCATGAAGACTTCTCAGATCTGATAAATCTAAATAGAGAAAAGGTTCTCACTCCAGCCTGATACAAAGGTTCCAGAGGCCACCCAACACATCCAGGCTCAGCTGGCTTGAACTGGCATCTCCATCTCTGAGGCTCAGCTCTTTAATTGTTGCTTTCTTTCTCTGATACAGACTGTGAAGTGCTCATCAATACACTTTGCTCTTCACTACATAGATCGACCCACCTTCAATCCAACTTGTAAACAAGGTCTTTTCTATAGGGCATTGAAGACTCATTGATAAGCTAGATCTGGCCATGTCCTCAAGGGGCTCACAGTATACTAGCCACTTTGTCTAATGATTTGTTTCACTTTCCACATGTTCTTATAACTTAATCAATCAATAAAAATGCATTTTATGCCAAAACTACATCTGCTCACCAGTGTCTCATAGTAGAGCCAGAGAATCACTAAATCGCCCAGAGAAGTGCACAAATTCAGAAGCCAAAAAACAGACTTGTAATGTGCAACAATCCTCACCAGTGAACAAGTAGATGCATTAAGAAAACCACCATAAAAAGAAGACAAACAAAAACATGTGTCCTTGACTGTTTACCCTAGATCCACAAAAATGCATGAAGCAAATGAAACACAGAAGGATGTTGGCACACTTGTAAGCCCGGCACCGAGGAGGCAGAGACAGATGGATTCCTAGGACTCACTACCCAGCCAGTCTAGCATGCTTGGTGAGCTCAAAGCCAGTACAAAACCCTGCCCCCCAAAAAATCAAGGTGAATGGCATCTGAGGAACAGCACCTGAAATTGGCCTCTGGCCTTCACATGTACATCCACAAATATGCATGTGTACTTGTACACATACAGACCTGTACACACACACACACACACACACACACACACACACACACACACACACCAAGTCCCAGAGTTGAGGTTGGAAAGTGCCTGCTTTCACCAAATGCCTGCTCCTTGACTTTTCCAAGTGTTTTCCTTGTTTTATTACTAGTCACCACACACAGTACAAAGAACAGCAACTGAAAACTATTTGTCTGTGGCTCTGTATTGGTTAGCTTAAGTTCTGCAATGCTTAAAATGCTACAACACTATGAGAATACTAGGGCTTTGGTTTTTTTTTTGGGGGGGGGACCATGCTTAAACAGTAAATAACACTCTCCATGTGGCTGGCCCAGTGGATGAACTGAGATGTCATTTAGAGACCATCTCTGTCATTAACCATATGCTACATCAGAATTTGGGGTCAAGACTTCAGCAGAGTCTCTACCTTTGGATTGGAGTCTTTAAGAATGTCCATGTGCTGGGGTCAACGGTCAGCCAAAGAGTGTTCCCACTGCCATGTATACCTGAGCCCTGCTGACTGGCTTTTCAGAACCAGACTCTGACCCCAAGTTCTGGTTCTCTGCCAAAGCCATTAGCACAGCAGTGTCACTAACAGACAGGGCTTTGGAGCTGGACGATCTTCACAAAGAATTCTACAGGCAGGAAGGTAGAGATGCCCCAGGGATTAAAGCATCTGCTGTGCAAATTCTCCAGAAACACAGGCAAATTCTGGGTGGCCATGGCAGGCCACTTTGTAATTCCTGCTTCAGAAGGCCGAAAGAGGATTCCTAGAGCAAGCTGGCTAGACAGGTCATATCAGTGAGGTCTGTGTTTGACTGAGAGATCCTTCCTCAATACATTAGGTGGAAGAGCAATAGTGGCTGGTGCCCACCATCAACTTCAGGCCTCCATAAGCACATACCCATGTGCATACTCACCCACCTGGGCAAAAATGTGTATACACACACACACACAAAAAAAAAATGGGCATAAAAGTATCTCATAGGCAATACATAATCTCTGCCTGACCTTGAGGAATTGATTCAACTCTGGAAACTTCTGTTTCCTTATCTGTAAAATAAAGATGACAATAATTGCCTAGTGGGACTATTGGTGAGCAGTAAAGGACGTAACAATTGCAAACTGATTGACAAGCTCCTGGCATGTCCCAGTAATCAGGAAATTCTGGCTGCTGGCCTGTGCCTCTCAAGAGAAAGAGCCTTCATGGAGAGAAGGAAGCAAGATAGAAGGGAGCAGGGGGTCCTCAAATCCCCTCACTTCTGAAGAAAGACATGTCTACTTCAGAACTCTCAGATCAAGCTGCACTTTCTGGCCAGCCAAGGTAAGTATTCTCTGTGGTGCGGCGCAGACTTCCTCCTGTGGCTGTTCTGTGCTGGCTCTACAGGTGCCCTTTCTATACCCGTCCCCTGGTAAGTCTAAGCTCTGCATTCAAGAAGCCTCCAAAATACCTGGGTGCCTGGGAGTAGGGAGTACCCCAAAGCACCTCACACTCTGGGATCTGAAGTTAAGACCAGCCCTGGAGAGGGAGTCAGGCTGGAAGGACAGGGCACCTTGGGGATGGGTGGGGATGCAGAAGAGGGGAGTGAAAATCTTTAAAATGTAAAATAGTAGGTTTCTGAAGCCTGGCCACGGAGAAACACTGGCTATTCACTGTGGAGGAGTCATCCAAAAAGGAAAACCAGCGCCAGACATTTGACTTCAGGGACACACGTGGGACGCTTCCTTTCACCAGAACAAAGGACACTGGGCTTTGAAGAGCCTGCAGAGGAGCAACAAAGCTCAGAGAATCAAAACGTGCTGAGGATCAATGGAGCCTCAACCAGGTTCTGAAAAGCAGGGTGGGGGCGGTCACATCCCCTCTCCTAATTTTACCAGCACAGTTATGGAACCGCCCCAAGGGGAATGGGCAGCACCTTGTGTCTCTAGCTGGCCCGTGTAGACAGGGAGCCCATAAGATGTGAACTCATAGAGGAAAACCATCAGCAGTGTGCCTGGCAAGCAGCTAGTGTGTGATGCTACCTGCGCCATTATTAAAGCAGCCCCCCAAAATGGATCTCAGCCATATCCGCACTGAGCTAATGAAGAAATACACATCATAAAAGAAGAAATTACCCACATAATAAACCCTGGATCTTCCAAAATGAAGCCATTAGAAATTGATCAGCTAATTTAGGAGCGGCTGAAGGCTGTATTCCCTCACTGAAAGCAAAACCAGGAAACATTTACAGGTCTGCTCTCAGTGAACAGCATGTGGAAGTCACACAGGCTACCCTAGCCCTGCTTCCTGAAAGAGTGTGTGGGCAGAAAGGGTTCTTCAGAAAAGCTGGGGGCACGTGACGACAGGTCACCCTGTGCAAGAGTTTCATCATAAACCAGCAGGATACAATTTCTAAAGAGTGAACAGGTAAAGCCCCCAATGCTCCCATTTACCCCTGAAGCCAAACCCATGGGTTGATGAGACCTAAAGGTACTTCCTAGTAACCTTTTTTTGATGAGTACATTATGTATTCACCTGCTGACTACACACAAACACACACACACACACACACACACACACACACACACACACACTCACGTACACCTGTACACTCACATGGATATACAAATGGCATATACATATATTCTCACAAACTTATACATCCATACATGCATCTGTACACTCATAAGCATATACACATGCACATGTATTATTCATATACATATACTCTCCCAACTATACAGATGTGCACTCTAAATTCATATATGCATACACACCCACATACATATATTCACACACACATACAACTCACATATGCACACACAGAGGCACACAGTTCATACACATACATACTCAAATATGCTGACATGCACAAACAATTCACACTATATACAGATACATACATTCACACATGCACATTCACATATCCACACTCACAAACCTATACATACTCTCACAGTACACACCTGCACATATAGATATTTGTACATACACTCACATAAATATAGACATATATTAACATTCACATGTACACAATTCACATACATACTCTGTTATACCATACCATGTACTCATATGTGTAACACTCCTCACACATATGTACATGCCTTCATGTAAACCATTACATTTTCACACATATAACACTTAGAAACATATACACTCCTGTTTACACTCAGACACTCACATAACTCTCTCACACACTTGTAATATTCTGCATGAGATAGGGCCTCTATCCTCTCCATATCCCTTTGTCCTGCCATCTGTATTTATTTTACAACCTGACCTCATCTCCCAGGGCCTGGCTCCTTATTGACCATCAACCTCACCTCATCCCCTTTACCTAATTCGGAAACTGCTTCTCTGAAATTCGAGGTTCACATGGACTGGATTCTTCTCCTGGATCCCACCTGCTCCAGGTCAGCACCTTGGCAGGCCAGCCAGCTCTCTGACCTCTTGCCTTGGCAAAATGGAACTCCAGGATCCATTCTAGGCCTTAAGTCAAGATTAGACTTGAAAGGATTGTTCTGAGTTTTTCCATGGGGCATTGGGACAGGGCAGCCCACGCCCATCACCATTCTGGGGCTCTTACCTCATTCACAAAGACCCAGTGGCTGTCCTTGGAAGCCAGGTTGGTCTCCACAGCCTGCAGAGAGAAAAAGAATGTACATGAACAGAAGCAAGGCAGAAGCTGGCAGACACACAAGATGATGGCTGGGATGAGGTTCTATAAACATTGTTTTTGCAGAATCTTTTCCTCACAAAATATGCCATCCCCCTGGGGCCTACTCTGGCTGCCTTGGCCACAACGGACACCATCTGAATTCGGTTATCTGATTTTGCCATCCTTCCACGCTCTCCTGCGCTGGCCAGGAGGAAGGTTAGAGACCCTTGTCAGTGCTACACAAGTCACAGACCACAGGTACAGTCAAATCCTCCCTTCCCCAAGAATGCATGTAAACCCCTTTCCAAAACAGCATGTAAGGATAGCATTATCATTAAACAAAACTACAGAACTAGGAAACTGACATACTGGATTTATGGCAGTCCATCCAGCCGTGCTGAGCAACACCAGGAAAACAGAAGACACTAGCTAAACTGCAGTGTGGCTTCACATTATTTTTAGGATCCACAGAGCTGGGTTCTTCCCAGTTATTGAGGGTGGGCCCATGGCCAACATTCTCTCAGCACTGCTCTGGAACAGTACTTGCCATTGTTGTGTGTGAATGGTCACCACTTTATTGCTTCTTGTTACCTACTTTCTCTGCCAGGGTTGGGTGGGGACTCCTCAAGATTAGGTCTACAGCTCTCAGACCACAGCTGGGTTCCACAACTTTGCTCTGACACCAACATATAGCAGGCGTTCAATCAACACAGCCTGACATATGAATACGTGAGAGACGGCAGCAGATAAAATCCCGTTCCTTGTCTTGTTTGCAAGCTTTGAGCTTGTTTGTTCATGGGCTTGTTTGTGTTTGTTTTTATTTAAGGAAGGGTCTTATATAGCAAAGGCTAATCTAGAATCCACTGTGTACCCAAGACTAGCCTCAAACTCCTGATCCTCCCACTTCCAACTCCCAAGGCCTACGATTATAGTCATGCACCACCATGCCTGGCTCTCATGTGTGTGTTTATGGGTACTTTCACTCTCCTTGAATTAGAAAGCCAGCAGACTGAAAGAACTGGAAGGCATTGATGATTTGTAAGCATGTCCTGTAAGAATGCTCATGGCGAGCATGTGCCAAGAGCTTGCTGAGCACCAGGCATTGTGCCAAGCCATCTATGAACCTGGGAAAGAGCTTTCAGATTGACTCCTTTTCTTTTTACTTTTTTTTTAAACATTCTGGCAATGTAATTTTTATTACTCATTTGATTTTAAAAATATAGACAAATTAAGATGCTTAATTAAACTCACTCCATAATACTTTCTCATTTTAAACAAATTGTTAATGTAGTAATAACTCGCCATTTATTCCTCCAGATTCATCCACTGGAAGCTGTCTGAAGTGGCCCCTTCCAGAAGCTTCTACAGTCATGTCATGCAAATATGTTTCTCTACATTCATAGAAGACAGATGTTTTAAAATCACATTTGGAAATGTATATCAGGTAAAAATTCTCATTGCAAACTTATTGATATATCAAATTATTGATATATCAAATTTACATTTTCTTATCAGTATGCACAGAGAGGTGATTGTTCTTAACAAAGGAGATGTAGTGACGTCAGAGCCTACACCTCTGACCCAGCCAGTGTGTGCCTAGCAACGTTCTCAAGGTCTTGGTCCTGTGTGGTGCTGAGGCACCCATGGTATCAGAGCACAGAGCTCCATCAGGCCCTTGCTACATGGGAACAGACAGTGTGCTTGGAGAACACAGTAGATCATGAATATAGAGACCACAAAGAGCCCAGGAGAGTTTGAGCCCATCAGCCCTTAACAGACAACCTCACAGGATGCCAAGTACAGGCACAAAGCTTTTCTGAACCACTCGGGACTGGAGAACACAGATTGGCCTGTCTATATCCTATGAATGAGACAGTACTGGGCAATGAAAAGATGAACCACTATCATTTGTCTAGTGAAGCCACGTATAAAGCACAGACAACACTTGCTGCTCTCCTGTGCAAAATGATGTAACCCTTGAGGCCAGAAAGAGGGAAATTCAGAGACTGAGGTTCATAAATGTCCCACAACTTTCACAGGAAACTGAGATAAGAATATGGTCACTCTAGTCCTCTAGAGGTTCACCCTCATGCTTCCATTTTCTCACAGCTATCCACATCTATCCTGTATCCTTTGGTCATGTGAGCCTTACCCAATTAACATTACATTTCTTGGGATAAACAGATCCCTGACCACCTCAGGAAGGAGGCTCTGGGTACTGGCTTATACCCTCAGAAGAAAATGAGCCTCAAAGAGGCCAAATGCTTCTGTGCACCATGGTGCTATACCCTGAGACACTTCTCATCCCATTTTGCAAGCCTGGAGAGCCGGGCTGCCTCAAGAGAAGCTTATGGGATCCAAGAGCCAGTGTCTCTTGAGGACTCTGAACTATGAGTGGTGAATGGAGAGCACCTTAGGGTAGAGTCTTGCCCACCCAGCCTAGAGCCCCTTCTTCTCAACATGCAGACTGCCACAGATGTCTTTAGATATCTAATACCATGGTGATGAGAAAAAAAGTACAGGAATGCGATCTAAACACTGTGAACACAGTGCTGGGCCCTTGCCGAATTTAATCCCTAACCTTTCAGAATTCCCTTCATGTTCATTTGTTACATCAGCAACTTGCATATCGAATGAGCATAGGACACAGAGTTTGGAGGATCTCTGAAGGTCCCAAAGGCTGGAATGCTAAACAAAGTCTCAACAGGGGCAGGCCAGTGAGACTGAACTCAAAACTCAAATAGCAAATGCTGAGCTAAAATCTGAATGCAGTACAGTTAAGACTAAAGACTGAGAGTAGGGGCGCTGGGTCTACCCTTGGTGCTGATCTAAGTCAGGCACCCCAGCAATGGAAGGACCCATACCCTGCATGTCAGTCATGAAGTGAGGCAGTTTAAGCCAACAGCCGCGTAAGTAACAAGGAACCCTCCCTGGACAGGACAATGAAGGTGTCTAATCAAAGGAAGAACTGTCTTGTGAAGAGTCCAACTTACTCTTTGCAGCATCTAAGGGTGGATTTACAGTGAATGGATGGTTCTAGCAATCAGAGAAGATAAACACAGCAGAAGAAAGGTTTTCTACCTTTCCAGGTAAGGCAAATAGGCTGCCTCAGGGTAAAGAGGCCCATCAGAAGTACCACAATGTTGTCAGTGTCAACAGTGGCTTGAGAAGTTAGGAGTGACTTGGAGAGCAACCATGGGTGAGAGACATAACTCCATGTAATGATTCCCAAGTCAGGCTGCAAGTAAGAAGCCCCTAAAAGGTTTTTTAAAACAGCAGGCCCTGGCCTCACTACAGAGGGTTCTAATTCACTGAGAGCAGCCAACTGCATAACATCCTAGTGGTTTCCAAGCTCCAGCCTGCACCTTGACCCTGAGATCTCTCCCATAGAACCTGCAGCTCTTTGAATAGGAAGGGACAGGTGCATTTTGCGGCTGAGAGGTGCCAGCATTGCCAATGACCATGGTCAATTGCTGGGAGGTCCTAGGGAGTGTGTAGGAACACGGATCCCCTAAGATGTCTTCCTACCTGATCTCTGACTCAGGCACTGAAGAACCTGGCAGAGAGAATTGATTAGGAAACCCCTCAGGATGGCTGGCCAACTTTCCTGTCCTACTTTCCCTCACCAATTAAGCAACAGCTAATTTGTTAAGCCTCTTTTTCCCACGTGAGATAAATAGCACTCAGATACATCCTTTTTTTCAGAGGGTACAGCTCACACAGAGACTGGGACAGGCGGTAAGAAAGGGCAGCTACTGTAGACGGAGCAAAGCCACATTTGCCTCCCTTGGCAAATAGTGGAGAGCTGCCGGCTCTGTGGGATGAGTCCTAGCTGCTCCCAGAGGGCAGGGTCCCTGTTATCACTGCTGGTTCCCCTTCCAAGTGCCAGCCTCTCCCTTCTCCTCCCATAGATGTCTGTGGCAGATAGAAACGAGTCCTTCTTTCATCACGGAGCAAGCATGGTACAGAGGACCCTTTGCTGTGTGCTCCCTGGTGATCTGCGTCACCTCTCCAAGCACATTTTTGTGACCCATAGCACTTGAGTGCCAACCATGCTATGGTACTCTGCCTAAAGCCTCTCACACCATAGTGGGATTTTTGATCACCCAAACGCCCTGTGTGTTAATTCTCAGCCACCAACACCCAAGGCTCAGGCTGCCAGAACTGTACTTGGCGCCCATGATTACATGGGAATTTGTACCCTGAACAAGAACTCAGGCTGACACAGATGCAGATCCCAGCTCTCTTCTCTCTTGCGGGGATGTCCTTCGTTGTCATCACAGCTATCCCAGAATCCAGCTACAGAATGAGGTCACAACTACGACACTTGGCATCCTTCATGTCCCTGTTCCACCCCTCCAAGAACCTGCTGGTTTTCTTGTCTGAATTCCTCTAGGAATACTTCATAAATAATTGTCATCTGATCCTCTCCTCTCAAAGTCTGCTTCTGGGATCCCAATCTGAAATGAACAGCTCTAGCCTGGGGTGATGTTAAGAATTAAATGGCTTTACATGTTATTTTACCAATTCTGGAAGGGGCTCAATATATGATCAGTTGTAACACGAATCTTAAAAACTCTTATTAATAAAAACAAACCTGGAGCAAGGTATTGGGGTGAATGCTGGAAGAGAAGAGAAGCAGAACAAGCCGCAGCTTCCTCACCTCACCAATTCCTCAGCTAATCTTGTTTCCTCAAACTGGAAGCCTCTGAGTCCTCATTCGAATAGATCTCAGCTGAACTGTTGCTGAAAGCCTAAAAGCTAAACCAGCCTAGTTCCTGGTCCTCACGCCTTATATACCTTTCTGCTTTCTGCCATCACTTCCTAGGATTAAAGGTGTGAGTCACCATGCCTGACTGTTTCCAGTGTGGCTTTAAACTCACAGAGATCCAGATGGATCTCTGCCTCCCAAGTGATAGGATTAAAGGCGTGTGCCACCATTTTCTGGCCTCTATATCTAGTGGCTGTTCTGTTCTCTGACC